GTTGATGATTACGGTGGTGGTAGTGAGGGTGGAGGTGATGATGATAGGGTTGGTGGTGATGGTAGTGGTGGTGAGGGTGGAGGTGATGATGTTGGGGTTGGTGTTGTTAATGGTGGGGGTGGTAGTGAGGGTGGAGGTGAGGGTAGAGGTGATGATAGTGGAGTTGGTGGTGATGGTGGTGGTGGTGATGAGGGTAGAGATGATGATGGTAGGGTTGGTGGTGGTGATGGTGGTGGTGGAGGTGATGATAATGCTGGTGTTGTTGACAGTGATGATGGTGGTGGTGGCATTGATGCTGGTGGTCATTGCAGCTAGGAAGACAGTATATTCTTCCTATGCACCAAGGCAGGAAATGAAAGCTGCCTTACAAAACCTGGTCTGAAAGGACTCTGATGGGACTAGCGGTCTCACTGGCATCAAGGGGAGCAAAGCTGACATTTGAGGGGCCCCACTGGGATCTCACAACTTGTGATGTAAACAGCCCAGCCTTTCCTTCATCTCCTGCTGCTTGTCCCCTTTCCCAGCTCTCCTCGCATACAGAGGGGCCCTGTAGTGAGACAGGTGGGGCATGCAGCTCTGAGGAATAGTGGAAACTCCGAACACCTTGGAAAGATAAATAGGCTCATGCAGATGGTATAAAAGTCCTTTTTCTGAACTCACGTCAGGTAAACCTCAACTGACAGAAACATGTACAACCACACCAAGACACTCCTACGGACGGATTAAATTAGCTCCCAAATAAGCAAGGGAAGGGATGGGCATCAAATCCCTAGTGGATCCTAACCCCGCTGTTTCTACTACTTCAACCATTACCGAGTGCCCCTCGAACATCCTGTATTTTGGCTGGGAACAGACTCTCCAGCCCAGAAATGAAAGTCTGGTTAAAGTTTCTCAGAGAATGAAAGCAGGTGATTCTCTCTACTTCTAGCCCCATGGCTGGGAATCGGGGCACGAAAGTAGCTGAGCTGGAAGGAGGAACATGGGGGGCACTCACATTCCTTCACTTGGTCAACACGTGTTTGCTGTGCTCCATGCCTTGTCCTGGGGAGAGACAGAGAGGTCTCAAACCCAGGCTCTGCCCTTAAGAACCTTAAGTAATCAATCCTAGGTTAACCATTTCCATATTATTTATCTCAGTGTGTCATCAAGCCTCTGACACTTTCAGTGCCCATTTAACAGATGGGAGAACCAAGTCTCCAAGAGGAAATTTACAGAGCAATTTTAAGTCAGAATTGCAACCACGCCTATCATACCTCAGCACCCAAGGTCCTTCCCATATATTGCTTTGTGTATATCTATTGGGAGAAGGCAGACTTGTCAGTAGAGGCAGTAGGGAGCCAGATAGATTTCACATTTCAAGTCTGCTGGCAGATTTTCAAAGTAGGCTGTTTGTCCAAGATCTTTAATTCATTCTACACTAAACTGGTTCTCTAAACTAGACACTGTGGTAGGCATAGAAAATGTCCTGATGCTCTAGGTCAGTGGTCGGCAAACTCATTAGTCAGCAGAGCCAAATATCAACAGTACAACGATTGAAATTTCTTTTGAGAGCCAAATTTTTTAAACTTAAACTAGATAGGTAGGTACATTGTTATTAACTTAATGAGGGTACTCCTAAGGCTTAGGAAGAGCCATACTCAAGGGGCCAAAGAGCCACATGTGGCTCGCGAGCCGCAGTTTGCCTACCACGGCTCTAGGAGAAGGGGGAAGATGAGAAAATACAGTCCATCCACAAAATCATCTCTATCCTGAGATGGATCTGTTCATTCATTTATAACATAAATACTTCCTAGGCTTCCTCCATGTGCCAGGCACCATCCTAGGCCTGGGAGATCCAAGGTGAACCAGGGATGCAGTGTGTGGTAGAGGAGAAAGGCGCCCATCCCAGTCTCAGCCAGATCTTGGAGTCATGTGACCTCAGTTCCAAGCTCACCAAGAAACCTAACTACTATTTGGGTTCCAGATAGGTCTGCCCTCAGGGAGAGAATGAGCCAGTCACATGGCTTTTCCACATTCTGACCATGTGACTGTTTCTTTTTTAAAATATATTTTTATTGATTTCAGAGGGAGAGGGAGAGAGAAATATCAATAAGAATCATTGATCAGTTGCCTGCTGCACACCCCCTACTGGGGATTAAGTCCACAACCTCAGCATGTGCCCTGACCTGGAATTCAACCATGAATAGGTCAACCCTCAACCACTGATCCCCACTGACTGGGCTATTTCTTAATTAAAATTTATCAACTGGCTCTCAGCCAGGAGAGCAAGCCCCAATCATATAGACTTCCGTGGCTGGCTCCTGAAACAGTTACTTCTCACTACAAATCTAAGCATTTGCCTCCAGGTCATTTTTATCTCATTTTTTACTTTTTAAAAGAAATCATTGTTAATCTGAAATGGAAAACAGTCATTTATTGTAGACTAGAGAAGGGAGCTTCTAGGATGGTTACATTAGCCCCATTCCTGATGCTATTTTATTTCCCTAGTTTTATCTTTCTTTTTTCACCTACTTTAAAAATTATCCTCATGCTGGATGTTATGCTATGAGCTGCCTTAAATTATTTCCAAAGCGACTGCTAGGTTTCAAATCCTGGTTTCTCCACGTCACCACTATGGAGCCTAGGGGAATTATTGTCCTTATGACCTGAGAGTAATGCCCACCTCACTGCCTGCAAGAAAGAAATAAGATCATACATAAAGCAGTTAGTACCGTGCATGCACTCCATGCATTTTAGTTGTCATTATCATAACAGCAATTGTTATTAAAGGAGGCTATAAATAAATACACATATGCATACCTGTCAGCTCTGCCTGAGGGTGGGGGAGGGGAGAGCAGCACAGAGGCAGGGAGTCTGTAGCAGAAAGTTCAGAGATAACGAAAGATTCTCCAGGTGAAAAGATGAGGACAAGCTGTTTGGGGAAGGAGAGCAGCAGGAACAAAGTCGCAGGGATAGGGAAGGGAAGTGTGGGCCACCTCAGGGAAGTGTGAGCAGGCCCATATGGCAGGGCAGCCGATGGAAGCCCGAAGGGTTCTCTGTCTCCACGGGTTCCGAATCCAAGGTTAGTTCGTTCATCCTCCGGCTCTCACACAGCATTGTGGACCAGAATCACCGGGAGGCTGGTTTTTAAAATGGACAGTCCCAAGCCCTGAACCTCAGAGGTTTGGATTTATTAGATGCAAGGTGGCCCCAAAGTATGTGCCTTTTTAAAGAGTTCCCACAGTGGCCCTGGGCAGTGGTCCTCAGTGTCCGCATTCTCCCTGTTCCACACCATTCCCCACATGCCCACATATAGTTACATGCACGCACTTGTACACACACACCACTCTCTTTCTCTCTCTCCCTCCCTCCCTCTTCTTTCTCTACTCTTCCTCCTTCCTCCCACCTTACCCCCAACTCTGTCCATGGGTCAAAGATGAGCCACAAATTTTCTGAAAGGCCTTTCCGATCTTGTCTCCATCCCTCAGTTCTGCTTCTTGTCAGCCCTAATCCTGCCAGGGAAATACAGGCTCAGGAAACCTACAGCGAACACAAGAGTTACTTTAATCTTATGGCTCCTGCTATTGCGAGTACCTGGGCAGTTTCTCCATGTAATTCCTAAGGGGAGGTCAGAACTTGGAAGATCCAGAAAGAGGTGGGGTGGTGGAATGTGGTGCCAGCAAAGACATGCTCCCTCCCGGAACCAAACCCATCTGACCCGTCTCTGTCTCTACAGAGAGTCGTCTGCACGGCTGGCCTCAAGTGGTACCCTCACCCTGCTGTGATCCACTGTGTCAAAGGCTGTGAGGTGAGTCCCCGGAAATGACTCTACTGTTACTAATGTTATCATTGTGTTAATCATGGCTACCATTTACTGTACCTGCTAAACGTTGTAAATATCCCTTTAACTGGCCTCCTGGCCAGAAATCAGCAATCCTATTCTACAGCTGCTGGAATTGAGGCACAGAGATACCAACAAACATACTCAAAAATATGTTCACTGGGTAACAGAACAAGGATTCTGAGCCAGGTTGTTCTGCCTCCTAACCCTGCATTCAGCATAATAGTGCGTTTCTGAGTGAGGGTGGCAGGGAGGCCGTATTGATTTGGCATCTGTAATATGACGGGGTTTTACCAGCATATTCACATTTAACCTTCACAGAACCATGTGAGGCCAGTGTTTTCCATTCCTACTTTATGGTGAGCATCTTACAGGTCACGTCCTTCTGCCATATGCGTGTCACTCACTTGCTCTTCAACCCCTTAGACCCAGCCACTGAGCTGAAATATGGTTAATGGATAACAGAACCAGGATGCTCTCTGGCCCTTCAATTCGGAGTCACAGCCATGCCCTGGGACGTGGCACCACGGAGCTCTGTCTCTGTGTTTCAGGGACAAGCTTGGGGAGGGCAGAGTACTGGGGGTGTCACCTGTGTTCTCAAGAGGGGCTTTTCGTAAAACTAGAAGACGCGTCTGTGTGCCCCATGCCCTGTGGTTCTGCTCAGCTGGTGGTGAAGAGACCCCGAATCCCATCCAGGTGGATGTCCAAATCTCCGTGGTCCCCCAGAGCCCACTCAGGAAAAGGCAGCTGGAAAGGATTGGACTGTGCTCTAGAAAACGTTGTATTCGATGAAATTCTTAGAATGTCAGAACCAGAAATGCTCTTCTAGGTGACCTAAACCTGACCTTTTAATCTAAAGATGGGGAACGGAGACCTAGACGGTGGGTGGTTGGGCTAAATTGTGATAGAATGCCCCAACTGGAAGGGTGCTTAGTGTGTCTCATCCTGTTCTTTTGTTGTATAAATTGGACATTGTGGCCGGAGAGGGGATGGACTGGCCCAAGGTGGTGCAGCATAACAGACACAGAGCCAGACATGAGCCCAGGGCTCCTGGCTTCCATTCGGGTGCTCTTTCTTTCCCAGTAGGTCACCTCCTACTCTTGAACCATCCCCTGCCCTGTGTCACAAGACAGTCCCTGAGTCACACATTTTTGTCTATGTATTGGCTAGAGACCTCCTGTGGCATCTTCTCCTGTGGCACTGGAGCCTTTAAGAACCCCATTCTCCCAAGAGTCAGCACGAGACAGCAACACCAAGGCCACGGCCACGTGGTTGTTGCTTCTTCCCATCTCCCTGGATCAGTCCAGCATTTCGGGCAAAGGGAGCTTGGGTTACCTGGGCACGCGTCCTGCTGAGTCGGCGGTCTGGGCCACCAGTGTGACAGCAGAATTCGATCCCTCCTTTGACTCAGCACTGGGACCTGCGAGACCCTCACCTGTCAGGCTCTGAGCCCTGCCAGTGATGCTTATCGCCTTTGCCCTAGCAGGTGCCCCTCGTCTCCTTTCTTCCTGAGCTTAGTGCCAATAGTTGGCCTCTTGTCTGGGGCAGAAAAGGATGCTTAGAAGAGATACAAAGGCTTGGTCTAGGGAGGGGGCATCCACCTGGAGGGTGTAGAGGTAGCCAAGATCCAGAAAGGGTTTGAGACACTGTGCCCCCAGCCCTCTACCCGAAGCTGTGTCCAAAGTGGTCATTCGCTCGCTCAGTCATCACAGCCTCACTGAGTGCCTATTATGTGCCCGATAGGACTCTTGGTTCTGAGAATAAAATGATCTCAGCCAAGTGAGAACAGTCACTGTGCTCCCTGGTTCACCTGTGGAGTCTTTTTGCCCTCCATCTATCCATGCATCCATTCAGCCATGTGTGTGCCTCCATCGTCCATCATTTTACTAAATGAACACTCAAGGAACACATACAAAGTTTTGCTCAAATTTCCAGGCATTTTTCTGGGAAATAGGGGCAATACCAATGGATGACACACACTCCTGTCCATAAGGAACTCACAGAACAGTAAAGGAAGCAGACAGGAAACCGCAGGAGGGCAGAACGTCTTGGGGGGGGGGGGTCAGGGAAGGCATTTTAGAGGGATCATGTTGGACCTGGATCTTGAATAATGAATTGCTTCCATTGTTGGAAGTAGCAGCATGAGAAATACTAGACAGGAGAAAGCTCTAAGTAGCAGATCTTTGCACATGCCCCTTTATCTGGAAATTCTCCCTTCTCCATCCCTATCTGATTAACTCCCACTCATCTCCCAATCTCAGCCAAAACGTCCTTTCCTCAGGGACACCTTCACGAAGCTCTCTGATTAGGCCAACTCCTTCGACTCTCCTCAAAAGGTCTCATGGACCTTTCTCCCATAGCCCCTCTCCGTGTTGAGATTGGCCAGTTAGAGAGTGGTTCTTTGGGCAGTTCACACTCAGTTTCCTAATATATTTGCATATATTTTATTATAAATTGTTTTTAAATTACCTCCTACCAGTAAAAGTGGGGCAAGGGGACTTAACTTGGCTTATCATTTCTTCAAGTAAAATGAGCCCCCTTCTTTAGGAAGATGTAAGACACACAGGAGTGTGTCTCCCAGGGCAACTATACTTTAATTGGGAAAAACTTGGCTACATAAGACTCTTTATACATGTAGAAGTGTTGGCTTGTCCAAGGGGGTGTTGGGATCTGAAGCCAGGAAGCAGTTTGGGAGAAGATGAGAGACGGCTAAATGATTGCCACCCCCACCCTTGCTTTAGGATGCTAACAAGGCACCTTTCCTTCCTGCCTCTCTCCTCCTATAGCCCTTCATGGGAGACAATTACTGTGATGCCATCAACAACAGAGCCTTCTGCAACTACGATGGTGGGGACTGCTGCACGTCCACGGTGAAGACCAAAAAGGTAGGCAGTACTCTCCTCCCCAGCAGCCCAGCTTACTGGGCCAGGATGACCCCTACCTGTTGGACAACCCATTGTTCTGGTTGTGCCAGCGCTTGCCTACAAGCTGTATTGTATTGTATCATATCGTCTTGTGCTTTTTATCCTTTTAGCCAGTAGTGGACCTAATGTCATGTGCTTGGACCCTGAGCGAGGTTTGGAGGCTCATGGATGATTTTTGCAGATGTGGTCCCTTACCCTGAAAGCTTTGACAAGTGAAAGTGTAATACATACTTTTAAAGGGAAGGACAGGGTGCTGTGAAGGCTCAGGCTAGAGGTGGAGAAGGCTCTACAGGAGGCTCACATTCGATGCTGCATTTTGAGGGTCGAGGGGAAGGAGTGGGGGTGGTGACCAGGGAAATGGCATCAGAGACAGAGACTGCCATGAGAAGTCCTGCAGAGAACATGCCCTTCTGGGGTGATGGCTGAGGTCGAGGGGAAGAGAGAAGACGGGACATTCCCAACAAGGTCCGTCATGGCCGTCGAGCATCATAACCCCTCTTGCTGTTCACACCTGTACAATGAGTCTTGGTTGTGATTCTCTTCCTTTGTGCAGCAGGAGTGATTCAAGTGTTTATAGTAAAACTGAAACATTGGGCTGAAGTGCGTATCAATCACTCACAGAGGGTGGCCATGCCCACCTTCCTCCTGGCCAGAGCTGGGACCAGAGTTTGGGCCCAGCCAAGAGCTGGGAGAACGGTGGTCCACCTGGGCCACTGAGTTGAGAATTATTCTTGTGATCATTGAGACAATAGGAAACGATCTCTATTTTATACTCATCTGCAATCTGAGCTGAAAAATCACCTGATCTCAGATGTCATTTGATCTACTCGTTCTTTCTTCCTTTCCCACCCATGTTATACATTAATTGTGGCTTTTGGTGTGTTAAAAAGGCTCCCTTCTCCCACTTTAAACTGTCCTTCCTGTTAGCCAAGGCTTCAGAATGCAGGTGGCCAGGCTTCCTTCCTGCAGGGAGATGCAATTTCATTGTGCACCTGGGAACCAGCATGGCCCGCGCCCTGTGCACGCCTCCCTTGCGAAGCTCACGGCCTGTGAAGGCCAGGAGACATGAGGCAGTGAGGAACACGACAGGCATTTAATCACCTGGTGGGAGAGGCAGTGAAGGAGAGGTATGGGATCTCACGGAGAACAGTGTACCTGTCAGCATCTCCCTGAGCAGGTGATGTTTGTGTTGAGACCTGGACTGGGAGGGTCCGGGTGAGGGTGCACAGGTTGGGGCAGGCTGTGAGAACTGTGTGTGGCGTGTGGATTGGAGCCTGGAGGCCTCTCTTACTGTGCACACGGCTCAAACTTAGTGATCAGCTGTTAGGAAGAGATTGGGCCTTTCTTCAGATGCGAGATTCCTGGAGGTGTTTCTTCTGGAGAAGAAAGGGGTCCCGAATTAAAGTCATTCTTCCTCTCTCAGTTTGACTTCTACATAAACTCCAACTTCTTGAAGACTTTCTACTTTCTCTTGTAAACACCCATCTACTCCCTGCAATAAACTGGCTTCTAGAAATGAGAGGTGGAGAAAATATATAAGAAGATAAAATACCCCTAAGTGAGCTGCCGAATATGCCAGACACGGTCAGAAACTTGTCCTCCGTCACCTGCTTTAACCCTCATTTCAGCCCGGCAGGGTGCTATTCGCCCCGTCGCACAGGTGAGCCAGTTTTGGCTCCGAGTACCTGCGGGACTCGCTTGAGTTCACTTGGCCATGAGCGCCGAGGCTCCCATTCCAACCCAGTGCTGTCTGACTCACAAGCCCAGCTTTCTCCCGCATGGGCTGAGTCTCCAAAGAGGAAAGCAGGTGGGGATAGGGCCGTGTCCTCAGAGCACCCGGGCATGACCTTCTCCGTTCCAGTTGCAGACAGTTCACTGTCAACCCAGACTGCCAAGGAACCTTGGGTGTGGGACCCCTCCCCTTGGCAAGGTGGAAGCCGCTTTTCCCAGCAGCAAAGACCGGGTGGGGAGTAGCGGAGGCTCCCAGCCTTGCCAATCATCCCTGACGCCCCAGACAGGAGTTTCCCCGAGTGGAAAAACTTCCTGCTTTCTGTCTCCAGTTTCCACAGCAGGAAGCTTCCGAGAGCAGGAGAGGGGCCAGATTCCTTCCTCTCCTCCCCTCCCTACCCTTACCTGGTGGTCCCACCTGAACTCTTGGCCCCGGACACATATCAGGGGACATTCCCTGACTAAGAGCACCCAGACTGGCACTCAGAAACTCGTGGAGTGGGCAGACTTGCTTCCTGCACCTTTCCAAGTGCAGCAATGCCATTAATTGAGTACACGTATGTCTTGGCTATGGGTTGGAATCTCTGTGCATAATACCATCCTTAGACCCCAGGACCACTCAACCACGTAGACAGCTGAGGCTCAGAGAGGCGGGATCATCTGTACGAGGTGACAGAACTTATTAGGATTTCGCCTTTCCTGACTACAAACAAATAATGTAGCTGCTATTTGTCGAAAGCTTGCTATTTGCCAAGCATGGCGCTAACTGCTTTCACATGTGTCAGTTCATTTCGTCGGCACAGTAGCCCGTTGTAGGTGTTGCCTTTGTGTCCTCGTTTCACAGATAATGCAGCTCAGGCTTAGGAGGTTAGGCCATGCAGCCAGGAAGTGGTACAGCTGAGATGCGACCCCAGTGACTCCTCACCACACAGCCCTCTCGCTGCTCTGGGCTTGCACTTGCCCTTCCCTGGTGGGTGGGCTTCTCGCTTCTCAGTCCTCCTGGACTGAGTCCAGGGTATGAACTTCGGGCTTAGGGTTCAGCGCTCAGCACCTTCTCCCAGACTTCCTTCTCGCCAACTCTCCACCTAACCCTCTCCCCGGTCCCCAGGGCTGGGGCCTCCCAGTCACTTGGCCCAGAAGGATGTCTGTCTGCTCCCTCCATCCTTCCTCCCTTGTTTGTCTGTGCAGACACCAGCTGTTTCCCACATCTGCCTTGTGTGACCTGGGCCCGGCTGACAGACAAGAGCAAGACAGTGCAGGAAACTCGGTCTGACAGGGGTGACCAGTTTCTCACCCAGACACCTGTCTGCAGCGCGAGGCAGACAGGAAGGGGCGTGACTCAGCTTCCCAGCGTGTCAGTGTATTATTTTCCTGGTGGAGCCTAAAGTCTCCAATACAGAGCAGATTTCCAGAGCGGTTGCTTCAGCAGTTTCCCCTCATAACAACAGCAACAAGTATTCCTTCATAATTGCAGTCATTCTAAGTAAGCACACGTGGAGCCGTAACAGAGGGGGAATCACCTTAATGCATCGGCACACCCAGGCTGCCTAAGGTGTGGTGGCCTGGGACCACCATCCTGGTCATGTTTCAGGCAACTGCGAGACTGACTCTAGAAGATGCCTGGGAAGGGGGGTGCAGTCCCAGGCTGCACTTAGCTCTGTGCCCTTGGGCAGGCTGGTTCACCCCAGCTTTTTATTTCTTGATATTTGGATTAGATTCATGTCTCAGTATATTCTACATGGCCTCCTGCATGGTTGTTCCTTTGGCTGAGAACCTTCTTCTCCATTCCTCCTCATGACTGCCCCACACCTCCTGCAGGTCTTTTTGCCTGAGTTCTCAAGGAGCCCCGCCCTGGCCACCCACCTTTTATCACCCCTGGCACTCCCACACCCAATTGCCTTGGCTTCCACTCCTTTTTCCTTCCGTGACACTTAGCACGTTGGCACGTACTATAAAACGTATGCATTATTGATTATCTGGTAACCACTGCCCTTCTTGCTGCTAGAATGAAAACTCCAGGAGGGCAAGAGCATGCATTTGATTTGATTCCTGATGAACCCCAGGTTCTGATGCTGTGTGATAACAGTGGGCTAGGCCATGAGCAAGACGGACTGGGGCTCAGCCATGCTGAGCTCGCGTCTTGTGGACTTGTGGTGGGCACTGAGAGTATCGTCCCTGCTCATGGAGACACCGCAGGTGAGGGGAATCAGTAAGCTTCCAGAGAGGGCAACACCAGAGCAGACAGGAAAGGTGCAGGAGGTCTTCCCCAGTTCAGAAAAGTAGGGGGATGACCAGACACAAGGATGAGAGAGAAGGGGGCTTCTGGCCAAGGGCATGGTCTGTGCAAAAACCCAGACGTAGGAGAGAGCACGAAGGGAAGTATGGTTCCTTGCATGTGGTGGGAGCACAGGGCAAGCAGGGAATGGGCAAGACATGAGCCTAGAGGGATGGGCAAGACTGATATAGGCCAAGCAGGGAATTTGAGTTTTATCCAGAGAGCCATGGGGGTAGTCAATGATTTTAAACACTGAACCAGCCTAGAAGGTTCTAGAAGGCTTCCTGGAAGAGGTGACAGATGTGCCTAGCTTGGAAGGTTTGTAAGGATAACAGGCATATGGCTAAACAGATTAGACTAATCCCCCCTGTCCAAAAATCACTAGCTTCTGGAACGCTATGATTTCTTCATCTGGGGTGTAGGTCTTTTTCATGTGGATGAATTAGACACTCACTTTAGCTTTTCCATCCTGAAAAGTTAGTATCATCATAACCATTGTCAATACTATCATCACTACCATTATCACCACATCATCAACACTACCACCAATACCAAGATCACCATCGCCATCATCATCGAGCACATAGTACATGCCCTGCACTATGCTAAGTGCTTTACCTGAATTTTATACTTTATCCAAAATCCTGTGTGGCAGGACTGCTGTGACCTCTGAACGCCCCCAGAGGGGAAGTCGCTTGTTTGATGACATACACTTAGTAAGAGGGTGAGAAATCAAACCCATGTCTCCTTTGGGTCTAGGCTGGTGCTTTTCTCTGCTTTACCACACTTTTCCTCCATTTTATCCTCCACTTATTCACATTGAAACCACCCTCTGTATTCACGGACTGTTCCATGCCCTCCACCAGGCACGAATCATGCTACTACCCCCAAGGAGCTTGCAGGGGAGTCTTCAGACTCAACATCCCCCCATAGTCTCCTTGGTCTCCTTAAATCTTTC